ACTACCTAAACTAGTTTTTTTTAATTTACTAACGGTTTGAACTCTAACTGTTGTTTATTAGTCTAAAACCACAAACTAAAAATTTTTATCAAATACTTTGTTTATAGCGATTTCAAAATAAATAAGTTTATCAAACATCTATTATTTGCAATTTAGATAAAAGCACTAACTATTATTCCCAAACCGCTATACCAAACGAATTCTACAACGATAAGTTAGGAATAGTTAGCTTGTGATAGTGTTTATATGCATTGGTTTTCTTTTCATTTGGGTTTTATGGTTAATTTTCTTTTGTACATTTTTTAAATAGCGTGCAGTTGTATAGCTTAATAATAATAATAATAATAACCTTAAAATAGACAACTTTATTTAATTATTTTATAGCATTGCATTCAAATTTCCTTTTAACCATACATACATATATAGGAACATATCCAAGAGACTAAAAGCGCTTGTTGCAGAAATTACTAATGCAATTGTCCATACAGCTCCCAACTTTCCTCACATCTGTTACATCAAAAACCATCATATTAATACAACATAAGAGAAGAGGCATATAGTATACAGTCTAGATTATATACCATAAGAGAAAAAAAAATGTGGTATGTGAAAATAATTGCAAAAAATCGAGGGATAGAAGGATGAGGAATAAGATACCATTGCCAAACTTGGTACACTGGTCAAGGGAACACCCGATGTTGCAATAGTAAACAGCACTAGCACTGGAAGGACTCGGAGGAAGACATTCTCTAACACATTGCTGGGTACATACTCCCGGATTTTCTGGATGTTGACAGTGGTTCTTCAGGCAATCTCGAAAGCAGTGTGGTTGATCATCTGCTGTTGCATACCCTGCAAAGATAAGTATTAGAGCCACGAAAATCACAGTGCTTGGACTCATCCTTAATTTGATCTACGTGCTAGAAATCTGAAACTCTAAATAGCTACCACAATACAATCATTTAAATGGACATTCTACGTGTATATAGAAACTTACCAATTGATATAGAATTTTTTAATATATGGAAATGTTATATTTGCTTGATGCTTAATGTGGTAGTTTTTCTTTGCAAGTTAGAAAAAACACACAAGTAGCCGAGTAAAATAGGAAAACTACAATCTATGCTTTGATTTGGTTACTATATTTGAAATGCAACTACTTAAGTTGATTGGTTAAAATTTCATTTCTTATATTTCTAAGGATATGGTTCATAGTTGTACTCCACAAAAGGAAATAAAGAAACAGAAATGGAATGTGCCCGGAGTGGGAAAACACCCTACTCAAACCTTTTTCTTGTTTCTATACAATCTTATAGTTTACTGCCTTTCCCGTGTTACTTTAATTTTAGATGATCTTTTATTTATGCGATGCACTTATTTTCTTTTTCTTTTTCTTTTTTAATTTCTACCAAATTTGCTTAACAAACTAATTTTATTGTAGCCGCGAATGTGGGAAATTCTTGATGTTCTTTCAAGATAATTATTTTTTAATCTTAATGTAGGAATGAATATACTCTCATTTTTACTACATTTATCTGGTCAAAGTATCATTGAC